AATATTTTTCATAAAGTAGATACATATGATAAAGAAATTATATCTAGCTCGAAACTCCCTTTATGTTGGTGACTTTTCATTAAAAATGATTTACTAATGCATATTCTGCTCTGCAAGGAAATGGGTTGCTCCAATGAAAAAATTATATAGGCACAAAAAGATAGAGGCTGTGCGGGTTAAACAACAGCTAAATGCAATTAAAAACTCTTCCGATCAAGTTGATGTATTTCAGAAACAGTTTGTCAACGATAGTAGAAAACTTTCTCGTGATAATGACAAACAAATTGATAAAGAAGCATTTGTAAAAAAGACGAGAATTAAAATACAAGTTCTGATGAAAACCCTGCATACGACAAGAGATTAATTTTTGGTATTATAAATTGGCATGTAATTAACAATTTTCCTTATTGGCTTCGTCAATTAGTACATAATCAAATATCAACATCCATGCCTTCATATGATGATGATTCAGTTGAAAAAATGAATACGGAGAAGCCCATCGAGTCTTTACAAAAACAAAAATTGTTTTGAGCCCCAATCATTTTGAGATTTGCGCGACCGAGAGATTATTGGTCACGACTTCCTCAAGATGAATAAACAAGATTTTAGAGATTGCGGGGGTCTGGGTCACTTTACCGACTACTAATATAATCATTTAACAAAAATAAAACTTACCAATAAAGAATTAAACCAATTAGTGGAAAGAAGATGATTATTATAATCCACAAGAGTTTACTTAAAAATGAGCGATTACTGGTAAGAATCTCAAAAATTGCAATAATATCACATATAAGCTAGAGAGTATTGTTAAACATGATTGGGTAAATTAATAGTTAGTAAATTAACAGTTTAATTGACAATTAATAAATTAATAATTATAATAATAATTACAATAATTAGTCCAATTACGCCTCCTATAATACCGTATAAACTATTTCCTGTTATCGCCATTTTTAATTATTTTTGATTTTTTTTTTTTTAATTTTTAAATTTTTTTTTTTAAATTAAATTTTTTTTTGAAAAATTGCTTTCGAGTTGAAAATTTTTATTTTATAACAAAAAATAATTGTAGTGACACAATGTAGAATTTTGCCAAACGTGTATTTCAGATTTTTTAATTATTTATTATTATTATTATAGGACTCGAGGCGTTGCCAAGTTTTATTATGACATTATATATGACATCATGAAATTATGACATAATGAAATGAATTGTAATGCCAGTGTATAAAATTTAGTGCGGAGTGCAGACATTCTATCCAAATTTGGCAAAAATTCAAAGAATTTAAAGAGTTAGAGGATCTGCATAATGGAAATTTGGTAACTTTTCCATCTATACATTACGTGCATAAGTGATCATTGTTTCTATATTGCCGCCTCAACTCCATATAGAGGATATCGAATAATTAAAATAAAACAATATTATTTTAGTCTATTACCTGAGATTCCTTTTGAGACGAACTATAAAAATAAAAAATGAAAAAGGCGATTCACTTGATATGATCAATTTTCTGAAAGACTACTATTAAAAAGACCAACTTTATTAAATACCCTCCTCCATATTTAAAAAAGAACAATAGGCTGTGAATTAAACCCCGTTTCGCAACAAAGTAATTGTGGAATGTTTCCTGTTTAAAATACTTGATAATATCAATATAATAATAATTTGATTCATTTTTTTATCCTCATATACAGCTTGATTGATTACATTTCATACATCATAAAGAAAATATTGCTCGAACAAAACAGAGTTTCGCAAGTATTACACGTTCAATATTGTGGTTTTTTTTTCTTAAATTGCAATAGAAACGATCCAAACGTAATAATTAAAACACCACAACCGACCTTGAGTTTGATAGACAAATCAATTATTATATATTTGTTTTTTCGAGTTTAGAGTTTGATTGGCTGTGTGTAATCCTGTATTTGATGAATGTAAAGAAAGCATCACAATTCACTAATTTTCAACATGAAAAAAAAATCAAAGTGAAACATAGCTTTTATTATTAATTTAACTATAAGTGAATTTTGTCATGGGTTGTTGACTGGGCTTTCCTTGGATTTTTATTCATTATAAAGTCAACAAAAATAAACTCGACAGATTCCGGAAAGAAACCATAACTCGGATTTTTTGTTTAGTAGTAAAAAAAAAAGATTGTTATGTAAGCGATATTTATTTCTTGCAGTATAAAAAAAAACAAGATTGTTGATTTGCTACATTTTTAAATTTTTTTTGTTTATAAACGGCAAATATTAAGTTGGCATAATTTGATCATTAGCTAAGTTCACTTCCTTCGATATCATTTCTTTGCTCTTTTCACTGCATTGTCAATCTTTTCTACATCCCCTTTGATATTTTGAAATTGTCTTATATTAAGATTATCATTGAGAAGTTCGTAGAAATCTTTAATGAATTGTGTGTGAAATTTATTCATATTCGATTCGGCAACGATTGGATGAGCTCCTATTGTAGACTTTTTAAATTCTTTATTTGGGTCTTTGTCTATATAAGCAGAATGCCCAAGTTATTGTAAATTATCAAACTAGATAAAATAAAGCCATAGATATTATATTATAAATATTTACTTTTGTCGTTGAATT